GTGACTACCAAAGGATCGTTTGTTAAGGTGTGGGGTGTTAGTTTTACCCATTTTTCTGGAGAGTCCATATCTGAGAAACGAACGAAAAAGGCTCCAAAACCTTCTCCACCGATGATCATTTCGCGTTGAATAGGGCTACTGATAATTCCGAAAATCGCTTCGCCATCCACGACATGAGCGATATTGATTGAAAACTCGTCGTTTTTCAAGAGAAACATTTTGGTTCCATCCAGTGGATCAACACACCAGTTTTCCTTCCATTGCGATCGAACAGCGTATTCCGCTTTTTCTAATTCTTCTCCAAGAATTGGAATTCCTGTTTGCTCCAGGATATTGGAAATTACTTTCGATGAAGCGAGATCAGCTTTCGTGACTGGTGATCCATCGCTTTTCATTTCAGGTTCAATGACTTGTTCATATACCGGCAAGATGACTTCGGTTGCCTCGATGGTGGCCTTCATTGCAAGCAGGTATATTTCAGGAAGATGATCAATTTGCATGTTATCCAAAGTTAACACAAATGCTTCGAACAAAAAAAGAGGCTGCCCATACAGACAACCTCTTAACCATTATATAAAGTTTTCGTGATGTCTAATATCTGACGATTACTTTTCGAATAACCGGTTTGATTCCTTCTGCCTCAATCATTACGAAGTAAATACTGTTCTTGAATTTCGATACATCGATCGTTTCATAAGAGCTGATTGAGCGTTCGGAAAGAACGACGTTTCCTAATACGTCTACAATTTTTACGGTGGCGGCATTTGCTCCCTCAGTAGAAATGTTGATTACATCAGAGGCTGGGTTCGGAGATACATTTACGGAAACGGAAGCAAGCGGGTCATTAACACTTAGTGTAGAACTGAATTCAATTCCTAAAGAGTCAACATAGTTACCATCATTATCGGTGACATAATACATATATCTTGCAGTCCCACCGACTCCACCATGAACAACAATGGGCTTTAGAATTACAGGGTATCCCAATGTTGTTGTATCTGATCCATGTTGAATAATTGGGGCGGGGTTTCCAATTGTTCCACCGGGTGTTGCAAATGTTTGTGTTCCTTGTGGAACGGAATAACATTGCGGTGGCCAACATACGCGATCGAGCCATGAAGCTGGCGGATCAACCTGAATCACACGCGTGATCCTCCATTGTTGATCTGATCCGGTAGTATTGGATACGTAGAAGGAGACTTCATAGTCTGCTGGATCAGTAATTGTCTGCTGAAGAATTGTTCCTGAAAGATCAGCGCCAACGCCTGGTCCGCCCATGTGAATTTCAATGCCATTTTGAGCAAGAGATGTGGAAAGAGTTAAAAGGGAGAATACTCCGATTA